TCTTTACATTCAGTGCCACAAGCTGATGTCAGTCAGGTCTGAAAAGTGTCCAGTATTCAGTGACCAAGATGCCGGGGCCCTCAGGCCAGTTTCAGCACGTCACTGGCGTTATCGGAGATAGAAGCCAGGGCAAGATGTTTAAGAGGACAGGAGGTGGAGACCGTGAATCCAAACGCTTTTTCAAGAATTTGGGCTTTGAAAACAGAGAGATGGCTGAAGGTAAGGGAGTGAGAGTGGACTGTGAGGCTGAAGGGAAGTCATCTGTCTGGTCTGTTACAGTGAGCGGACAACAGGGGCGGGGCCAGAAGAAACAACAGCGACAGCTCCACACGTGTAGCGCTCGCCACGAGCCACGCATGTTCTAAGCACTTGACACTCAGAAACCCATTTCATTCACCCCCACACTGCAAGCAGGTGCCAGTATCATGCTCGTTTTCAGGGCAGAAACAGAACTAGAGTAATGTCACTGTGGCAGATTGTACTTTGCACAGATGGCCGAGGGGGTCTTTCTACCTCCCCCCTTCTCTTCTGACAAAGTGACCCAGACGCCCACCAGGAGGCAGGGTCTATGCGCCCTCCCCAGGAACCTGCGCAGACCTTCGTGTTTGCTGATCAGGCGAATGGTGGACATGACGCTCTTTCATACCTGCTGTGCACGTCCACCTAGTTCTCCTGAGCTGCTTGCTCCTGGGACCCAACCAGTGTGCAGAGAGGCCCACACAGGAGAGAAACCAAGGGCCCCGGTCCACGGTCCCAGCTGGGCTCCCTACAGCCGGCCAGCAGTGACTTGCCAGTCACGTGAGTGAGCCATTGTGAAACTCGATCCTCCAGCACACCCATCCCCCAGCTAATGTGACGGAAAACAAGAGTCATCTTCATTGAGCTCTGCCGAACTGCAGATCCATGAGCCACGCGGATGAATGTCGCTCCTCTAGGGCAGTGTGGAGCAGCCTGTTAGCAGCGGCAGACACTGGCGAGAGCCACCGGGGGCGTCCCCCCAGTGCTGCCCCCTCCTCCTCCAAATGCCCCCTTCCCTGGCGTTGCATAACTCCACTCTTCCGCTTTTCCTTCTCCCTCCTGCGCATGCCTCTGAGTCTCCTTTGCAGGCTCTGCCACTTATCTCACTCACCCGGGTAATGCCAGTATAACCAGAGCATCCGTCCCTGCCCTCCCTGGGCAACTCAACCATTTCTGTGACTTTGGTCACCATTTACCTGCTGAAAACGCCCAAGTCTCCAAGGCTGCTCCACAGCTCGTTGCATGTGTCACAGGAAATCCAACGCACAACGCACAAATCCAGTCATGCTCCCCTCCTAACCCGATCCTCCTCCTTGCTGCTCGAACCAGCACTGGGGAGGCATTTTCCCCTCGAACCCTGTCACTGCCTGAGCCCCACCGCACCTCACCTCCCAGCCCATCCGCAGCCACTGCTACAACCTGCATCTCTGCACTGAATGACCCTGGATTGCGGGATTCTGAGCTGTCTCCCTTCCTCCTTTCCCATTGAAGCTTCTGGCCTGCTTGCTATAAACCAGGAGGAACTTTCCAGGATAAAAAACTAATTTTTTTTTTTTTTTTAGCTGAGCCATCCTGCCACCTGTTGGCAGCTCAGCTCGGGCTGGGAATCGAACCAGCGATCCCTGTTGCTCAGAGCTCACACTTTTGAGTGAGCTCTTAACCAACTGAGCCACTCAGCCGGCCTTGATAAAGAACTAATTTAGTCAGAATGAGCACAGCTGCCCTGCTTACCTTGATCACACTCCCGATATGGTTCTGCTGAATTAAGAGACCTGTTAGCTCGGCAGTGTTCACAGGGGCCTTTAGGAAAAGCTGAGGAGAAAAAAAAAATTTTTTTTTAAATTAAAACCAAAGCATGATTCCTAATAAAACTTCTGATTTCCATATTCAAATAAAAATGAAATTCCAATGACTTGACCAGGAAGATGACCCAGAGATGCAACCCCGAGAGGAAGGAGAAGCCCAGGAGAATCCAAGCAGCTCCAGGCGCTGGAATTTCAGAGGCAGCCAGTGTAACACGGGGGGTGTGGGGAGGGGAGAAGGACGAAGAGGAGGCGCCCGAGGCTAAGAGCCTGCTGACTAGGCCAGCGGAGGCTCTACAGGGAGAGGACCACAGCCGTCTCCTATGGGTGAAGGAGGCAGTAGGAACATCAGAGGGCGCATCAGCCATGTGGCTGTTATGAAAGAATTCCTCTACTCCACCAAGTTGGGGTGTGAATTAGAGAAAAGCAGAATAGCGGCTCAAGTAATCACATGAAAAGGAAAGTATTTTAGGACACAAGATACTTAAAAAGGTTAACCAGAGGAAAGGGTCTGGGAGGTGAAGCCCAAATAGGGGCATTAGCTCTGGAAAAGAAGAAAAATTCTTCCTTCTCGACAAGGTGGAGTGGACAGGTCTGAGAACTCTAAAACAGAAAGCATGAAACTGACAGAGCTAGCTAGTGTGGAATGGCCTGGGTTTTCTTAGCAAATTTGTGTGTAAAGAGTAAAAGACAAGACCTGCTGCAGTAACTTCTTAATTCCGTCGTAATCGTTATCTGAGATGGAATAAGCTTCAAATTCCACGTTCACTTCCTGTAAACACATAAAACAGGTCACCGTGCATAACTTTCTAAGGAACTTCAGGCATCATTTCCCACTTTGCAGAGTTTTCTTTTCCCTCCACCTCCATTCCTTTTGGCTCTTTATCTACAGAACATGCCAGAAAAAGGACAAGAAGAAAAGGTTACCTAAAGAGCTACAAAACCAGACAAACATTGCCAGGATTGCGTCTGCACAGATTATCAGGCACCTTCAGACCATCTCCTCATCTGACACAGAAGCCTGAGAAAAACAAAACAACTCAGAGAGACCTAGTTTCAATGTTGAGACAGGGAGCTCTGGATTAGTCCCAGCAGCCATGAAGGGGAAACGACTTACCAGACTGCAGTAAGGGTGAGCAAGGATCAAAAATCATCTCAAAAGTCCCTGCACTGCCTAGAGCCTGCTTCAGCCCATGGATCTAAGGCTATGCTGTTTTCTCTTGGCAAATACGTCTTCACTGAGTACCATGTACCAAGCACTGTGCCCGGTACTCGAGATGAAAAGGTGAGCAAAGCAGGCACGAATGATCCTGCCTCCATGGAGCTTACGGTTTAGGTGGAAATGTAGACACTAAGGAAATATTCAAATAAATGTAAAGCTGCAACTATGTGAGCTATGAGCTTGCAAAATAGGAGGTCAGATAGTCAGGGAAGACTTCCCTAGAGAAGTAACATTTGAGCTGAGACCTGAGGACAAGACAGTTCCTGGCACAAGGAACAGTACGTACTAAGGCCCTGAGGTCAGAGGAAATATGGTTGGTACAGGGACTAAAAGGTGTGTGTAGCCAGGCTCCCTGATCTA